TGTGTATATATATATATATGTATATATATATATATATGAATCCGCAACCATTTCTGTTGCCCATGACAATGCGCAGACACTCTATGGATCTATGTGATGATATATTCATATCCCTGTTGTGTCATTCACCTCACCCCAAACGTTAGCCCATCCTCTGCTCGTTCTCCATTGACTTGAGATTTCTTCCCACACACCAGATGTGTAGAGAGATGCACGTGCGGTTCATCGTTGCACCGTATGAGGCTGATTCGCAGATGGCGTTCCTGGCCACCACCAACAGAGTGGCCGCTATCATTACCGAAGACTCGGATCTCATTGCTTTCGGTTGCTCTAAGGTGCACTTTGCTTCATGTCTGTTACCTTAAGAACCACCTCATTTCATTGTTTTATTGCTTTATTGTTTTATCGTTTTAATTGTTTTTTGCTTTCCCGATATTTGCACACTTGTTATGCGTTGAGAAACTAAATTAGATGTCTCGCGTCGTACTCAAATGGCACGGAATATCTGCGATGAATTCAGATTATCTACAAGCTCGAGCCCACGGGCATGTGTGTGATGTACGACAAAGAGTTGCTAAAGGACGATAAGGCCATAGGAGTCCCTATGAGCACCTTCAGCGACACCCAATTGCTGGAGATGTGTATTCTGTCGGGGTGTGACTATCTGCCATCTGTCACAGGCATGGGCATCAAAACCGCGTTCAAATACATCAAACAGTTCGGTACGGCGCACCAGGCCATCCGCCGCCTCAGAGCCAGCAATAAATTTACCATCCCCTCCACCTACCCAGTGGACTTTGCGCGGGCTTTGCAGACGTTCAAGTATCAACGCGTGTACCATCCCGATTTAAAAATGCTGGTCCCGTTATCTGATTTCGAGGAGGTAGAGGAGATCGATGCCGCCACACAAGAAAACAGAGACTACTACATTGGCCCGTATGTCAGAACACAGTGTGTTTTGTTGCTCCGTGGTATTTTCTCATTGCAACATGTGTTAAAGCGTCTTGTTGCAATTGTGACATGTCGTCTTCAGAGGTCGTGCAGGTTGTATTTGCAGAAACCCTAAACCTTGGACGGCTTGTTCGGCAGGTTGGTTCGAATGCGCGACATAAGGATGTGATAGACCCTGTTTCTGGTGATTGGTGCTTTCCAGTTGTTGCGCAACACAGTGCTACAGTACGTGATCGTGGCCACTGGCTGCTGCAATACGTGGCTCTCGAGTGTGATACTATGTTTATTCCAGCCAGAATGTGAATGGCCCTATATATTGCACTGTTGTGTATATAATAGCGGTTATAGCAGCAGTGACTGCCTTTCCAGGAAGTTTGAAGCCCAAGAAATCTAGCTACGCACTTGTAGCATATCAATCATCATATGGTAACGTGTGCTCGTGTGTTTGGGGTTTTCCATAAAGAAGCGACTTGTCTACCGATTGCGACTGACACCATTGGAGTGCGAACTCTGTGCAATTCTAAGAGGAGTGGCAAAGGCCAATCCTCCACACTAAAACACTACGTTGAGCGCATGAAAGCGGAAAGCACTGAGACACCTACATGCCACAAACACACGTTCATGGCATAACACTGTGTTTAATCGCTCGAGTGCGAACGATGCCTTAGGAAATGTAGATTTTTAAATACTCTCGTCTGTAATCTAGGCTTCTGGAAGACGATGTGGCGCAGAGACTGGCGAATGGGGAACTCAATCCGAAAACGTTAGAACTCTATGCAATCCCCAGTCCTAACTGTGAGGGCACCGCGAATGACAGGAACAGCGGGTGGGCGGATGACAAACCAACGAACAACTACTATAGCCAACGGCCGAAGGTATGTGCATCATTTGGTGTGCGTTGCGGGAAGATTCATGGCCAATGATTTACAGCGTATTAAAAACTAACTATTTGAAATGCAAACTTTTTGATCCAGAAAACGGATGAGGGCACTCGCAAGGCCCCATTGCCACTACCGAAAGGCCAGCCGTCGCTATTTGACATGGCCAGAACAAAGAAGAAAAAGAGTGTGTCTAGGGGGGTCTCCACCCCTGCACCACCCACTGCACCACCTATTTCACCCGCACCCGCACCTGCAGTACCTGGGATGTTCACTCTGACCGACCTGCAGGCTATGAAGCAACACGTGCCACACAGACCACACAATGGTACGCTGGAAACTGAGAGAGACTCGTGCGCTCGTGCTACAGACACGTCACACCGGACGTCAGCCACTACAAACGCACGTGCGTCTATCAGAGACATGTTCTCATTTGGCGCAAATCGCCATACAGATACTGCACGCGAGCGAAAAACATTGGGAAATGCCGTCAGAACACTCCATGATGATGTAGAGCCTGGACATACACAATCCCGCAACGTGGATGACGCATTAACCGTTCATATGCACACCAGTCACAACACTAACAAACTCAGACAGGCAACTGACAGGCGCAACGATTGTAGTACAACCAATGGCAATGGTGGCAAAGCAGCACCTTCCACAAACTTGAATGATTTCAGATATAACAGGAAGGGTGTGAATGGGAACGGGCTATTCAGTCAACAGAGTTCGTTTGAGGCTATGGAAAGACTGCCGCTGAAAAGAAAGGAATTCAGCGACACAAACGCCCGAAGCAAACATACCAACCACCATGCTCACAGTCACAGGGAACCGCAGGCAAAGTGGCTCACCGATATAGGCGGTAGTAGGCATAGAGGCGGTAAAAGCTTAGACTACATTGATGAAGACGAGGGTGAAGGGGGCGCTATAGAAGACGGATACTACACTACTGTGAGCGACGAGGAGGCTGAGAAGTTGAAGCACATTGCCATGCAGCATAGCAAACGCTTCAGCTTACCATTGCGCAAAATGGGGTCGCATTCTGTACAACAGTTTCCATTTGACTGTATGCGGAAGAGTAGTGGTAAGTTGCCCAAGCGGCTAGGGAAGGATGTGCGCGACTGCCTTCCGCCGGATGAGGCTGATAAAGAGAATATGCACGCGCACAATAGTAATGTAAGTCATGATGGACATAGCAAGAATGTAAGTGACGATGCGTTGTATACGAGCTCCATAAGAAAGGGGGAGAAACAAAGCGATCACTCGGAACCAGATAATGCTAGTCGTGTGCTGGATGAGAGGCCTTCGAGTACTGACCAGACCGATGGTGAACCACCGGACACACTTGTACACACATCATCACTACGTGCATACACCTCTCCACCACGTGTGCAACAGAAGACCCAGAAACTCAGACATGGACTATCACGCCCTCCCCACTCTACAAGCGACAACGTGCGAGTGAGGAGTGTAGTAGGTCAGGCAGCTTTCCACATGCACAAGGAAGTGCCCATGGATACCGAAGTCAGGTCACCAGCAAACTCGGATGCCGCTAGTGTGGACAGAACCGGAGAAATACGTATAGGTGATTCAGAAGCTAATTTAAGAGTAAACGGAGATACTTTCTGTATGGACGACAGTGGAGACGACACAACCGCCCACAATAGTTCAATGAGAGAAGCGAAAGAGTCGTCGTATGTGTTACCTCCCTGCATCAATAGGCACACCATGCCTCTGCAGGCGCTGGAGCAAGATAGATTGGATCGAGCAACCCGCAATGGCATCTCCCGAGTGCCACCACACAGTGCGAAGCCCAGGAGAGGGCCCAGGGGCCTACCGAAGGTCAGTGGCTCCAAAAGACCCAAAACTGTGCAGCCAAAATCCGCGGGGTGTGTCAAATTTTTCCCTGTTGATTCCATGCCAACTTGATTGTTGTTGCAGCTAATTCGATAAATTTTGCGCTTGCCTGCTGTATTTGTTGTCATATTTTTGGTTGTCAGTTGTGGCAAATTACTACACGGTTGCACAATCACTGATCAGAACGTACCCTACTGTGAGCTGTTTCCGGGACTCCCTTAATAGAGCGCTCGTAGATCTCAGTAGCATATTAGTACTCTATCTTTTCAGTCAACTTATGCGTACCGGAGAGACACTGTTAACAATACTGACAGCCTGCCAGTTGCGAGATATATTTCAGTGCGCGTATAGGTCCATAGTTCTGTATGCTTAAAATTTTGCTTCAACTTACAGGACACTACTGCACTTCGCGTTCAAACCAAAGCCAAGAGTGAAGGGAACCGTGTGAAAAGCTGTGATCAGAAGCTAGCGCCGAATATAGCAACCAGCCAGCAATTAAATCTTTCTGGCCGCCCGCAGATAAACATGACAGAAAAAACTGCGGTTGCGGAGCCGAATCTGAATTTTGTTGTAGCTTTATCGAGTACTTGCAGGATATGCTACTGACGATACTGATATAGTATCATGTAAGCATACTGTATTAAAAAGAATACCACGCCTTCGGGAAAGTACAATCGCAGAGGCAGTTAAAACACAATCGTTTTACGATAGTACACAAACGTTACGAGAGCATTCCATCTATATGTGATGAAAGAAGCCACAAACCGCACAGCGAGCAAGGTACTGTAAGTAGCAAGATATGGCCCTAGCCAACAGTACAGTGGGGCAGTTATACATGCAACCACGATGCTTTATTCCAATTACGAACCGTTGACATTCTCGTTTTTTTTACTACAAGCCTTAACATTGAAGTGACGTAGGTGTCCAAAGATTCCGAACCTTGATATTCAAATTTAATGCATAATGCTGAATACGGGGCATAAACACACATAGTACCCGAACATCGATATCTAAATTTTCTGTAGGAGGCTTAAGAAAAGTACATTTATGTCCATATTGTAATCATTGTAATACATTCAGCGACAATCCAGGCAGGCAGCGTCTCGACTTTTCTGCATTATGCTATATACAGAAACAAATGTCTATATTGCTATCAATTAAGTTCATCAAATAGGAATACCAGAAGGCAAAGTGACCATTCACATATATCAAAATTATCATTAAAGTCGTTTTCATAACATTAAAATACAGTACTCAAGTTTATACAGTTCCCGAACCTTCATATTCCATTTTTCCGCGTAGTGTTGAAATTGTGACACCAAGTCCCTGATTCCGGAACATAGATATTCAAATTATCCACATGTTACTAAGAAATCGACACAAATGCCCAAATTGCAATCATTTAATTCATTCGGTGACAATCTCGGAATACAAGGTCTGCATTTTTCTACAATCCCTTACATTAATGTTCTCCTCACGATGCTGAAACACGGGATGTAGGCGTATTAAATTTTAATAGCGCATAATGATGAATATGGGATATAAATATCCATAGTTCAAAAAAGAATTGATACATAAATTTCCTGCATTATGTTGAAAAAAAAAAAATTTGTTCAAATTGTAATTATTTGAATTCATTCAGCGACAATCCCGGAGGACAAAATATCCATTGTTCTACAAGCCTTAACATTCAAGTGCTTTTGATGATGCTGAAGAACAGAATCTAGGTGTCCAAAGTTCCCGAACCTTGATATTCGAGTTTTGAACATAATGCTGAATACGATGTCCCCATAGTTCTCGAATATTGACATTCAAATTTTCTACAATGTATTCAGAGCAGGAAACAAAAATCCATATTGCTATCAATTAAATTTATCCAGCGACAATAGCGGAAGGCACCGTGTTCATTCACATTTCTATGAAGTTTGACTTTAAAGTGTCTTTCATAATGCTGAAGTACAGTTTTCGAGTCTCTACAGCTCCTGAACACTGATTCTGAGATTATCCATTGTTCTACAAACCTTAATAATCAAGTGCTTTTCACGATGGTGAAAAACGGAACGAAAGTGTACATAGTTCCCAAACTTTTATGTTAAAATTTCCGCATAATGCTGAATACGGACATATGTGTCCGTGTCGCAATCATTTAAACTCATTGAACGACATCCTCAGGTCACAAATTGTCCATCATCTACGAACCTTGACATTTAAGTTTTCGAGGCTTGAAACAGGACATAGGTTTCCATACTGCAATCAATTAGCGATAAACTCCAACGTAGTGTTTTAAACAAAATGATACCAGGATTGAAGTGTCCATATTTTAAGTGTTTTACAAATTGTTGAAATTGTGATATGCCAAAATCTACATAATTCAAGGGTTTAGGGTTTTTAGGTTTAGGGTTTAGGTATCTTTATTTGTTTACACGCTATTGCTATATACAATGCCTTGTGTCCGAAGACCTGTGGCGGCCGGCAGGTGTCGCAGTTTGTGCCTTAATCCCTGTTTTCTCAGGTAGAGGCTAACTGAACTGTCTAATGGCTGAGTTGTTGCGCTGCGTTTAGTTTGCTATGTGGCTTGGTATCTTTGGGTATGTAGTTCTATGGGTTGTTTTAATAGTAGTTTGTAGATCCTAACTGGTTGGAAACAAGTGCTGAGAATATACTATGACTG